ACATACTATAAAAAATGGTGACATTTCTCACAAGGGTCATGATGTGGGCTCCCATAAAAGACACTGTAGAGCATGATAAAGAATGTTTTCTCCCAGAAGAACATTTCTAAAACCCAGTTCTCCATGTTAAACGTCAGCTTTGGTTTATCCTTCAGACTCACCATAACCATGATGTTTAAAATTGCAATCCACACCTGCACTCCCAATTCCCTTTCTCTGTTCTCCCTTTTCTTTTTTCATAGCATTTATAATTTTCTAACCTAATAAGCAAATATGTTTTTTATCATTCTTTTCTAGAATGTAAGCTCCAGAGGGAAGGGATCTTTGTCTTTTTTGTTCATTGATACATCCAAGCACCAAGGACAGGACCTGATATAAATTTTTGTTGAAAAAATGAATGAATCTATGTTGAGTTCAGTACAAAAATATCTCTGAAGTTAGATTCCAATTTTATTTAGACAATTAACAAATACCTTCTAAGCTCCAATTATGGAGACAGATTGATCATACCCATACAAACATATAATATCAGATAGTGATTACGTGCTACAAAGCCAAACCAGCAGTACAAGGGTTTGGAGAGCCAGCCATTTTAGATGAGGTAGTCACCACTCTGAAATGATGGCAATTGTTTCAAGACTTAAATGAAGTCCTGCACTATGCAAATGTGGGAGGAGTGGAAAAGTGAGCATTGAGCACACTAGAAATACCAAATGCAGAAGCCCTGCGGTGAGGGTCCAGCAAGGGCAATAAGGCCTGACTTGGGAAAGTGGGGTATGCAAGAACGTATCATTCTTGTTGCTTTTATCTGCTGCTTAATAACACGCATGTACTGTCTAGCACGAAATAGAGATTACATTTCACCTAGAGTACTCATTCTCTGAGCCTAAGTGGCTCTTCTATTCCAGCGCCCAAATATCTATATCAGCACATCATCATATAAGATTACAAAGCACACAGTAATGACTTTGTTAGAAACTCTTCCCAGTAGCCCCAGGAGTCCGGAAACTGACTTAACTAAGAACCAGTGTCCAGTAAGGTGTAAAGCCCAGCAGAAATGCAATATTAGGAAGGTGTAAAGCCAGGAGGCTCAATAAACGTTAGTGACTGTCACTTTGGAGTCTGGGGGAAAGAGCAACGATCCAGAACACTGTTTGTGAATTCAACCACTTTTATTCAGCTCTGACAAGGTAAGTTGCCAAGCACAGTACAAGGTAGCTCTCTACGACAAGCATTTTGTTACAGTCCTGGGCTCGAATTGTTGCAACATTTTATGTAATTTTTGCAAAGAACAAAAGCAAACGTTCATTCTAAATTCGCTTTCCAACTCAGTTCTTTCTCCGCCATACGGAGCACTTGGAAAGTTTTCAACGTCTGAAAACCTCTATTTCCAGGGCTGAGCAGAGAAGTGTGTGTTCCGGGTTAAGGCGGCGATTTCTTCCCATCCCTCCATAGTTCCAAAACAGCTTCGCCTAACAAAGTCAAACTTTCTGCGCTATTCCTGGTCATCAGGACCAAATGTCGAAAGCATAAACTGCCACTGAGTTAGCAGGCCGGTTCGGGGCCCGGGACCTGGGATATTAGATTTATGGGGCGGAAGCCTAGGGTCGAGGCGACAGAAATGAAATCAGCAACCTATGCTGAGCAGTGAGTGGGTTAGGAAGGCAAACTCCAGGCAAGACCCTTCCCCGGGTCCCGGGACGCCCCCTAGCCACACCAGACGCGAGAGCTTAGGATGAGAACAACCTCCGGGCAGGCGAGCACCCTGGAACGACGCCAAACGCGACCCCTACTATAGGACTCGCGCATGCGCAGCGTGGCGCAGCCTGGGCCGGCTTCTCAGTAGGATGTAGTCCCAGAGCAGCGCAGCGGATCTCCGCCAGCAGAATTGCGCATGTGCACTGCAGCCACTGCCCCGCGGCCTGGGCTGGGGTGTAGCCCCAGAATCCAGCCCCTAGCCCCCGCCAGCAGGTTTACGCATGCGCGGCGACGCCTAGGCCTGTGGTACGGTCGCGGCTCTAGTCCCCGGGGCCCCTCAGTGGTCTCTTGGCTGGCAGGTTGGGCCGCAAGGGCGCGGGAAGGTGGCCTGCACCGGGGGTAACTGAGTACCCCACTGAGTTAGCAAGTAGGGGTACCCTAACAGCGGCCCGCGTTAGGGCCGCTATCTCCCTCGCCCTCCCTCACCACTTCTCCACCCTCTTACCTCCGCGCAGGCCGGAGCCGCGTCCGCTCCGCCTCCTTGGTCCCGGTTACTGCTAGGTCGGGGCCCCGGCGCAGCGAGGTGTTGGCACCTCCCACTGAAGCGGCCCGGCCTCGGCGGGATGCGCTCCGGTGCCCGGGAGAGAAAGAAAGGACGGGAGCGCAGACGAGGGGAGGGGGCTGGCGACGGCGCCTCGCCCCTCCTCTCCTCCCTTGGCTGCCCACCGCCGCCCCCGTCTTTCTCGCAGAGGCCCCCTCCCCTCGGAGTTGACCCCCGGGAGTAGACGCAGCGTCTCCCGCTGGGGCTGCCTCCGCTTTTCCAGGGAATTCCTCCTTGGGCCACCCCCACCTTCTCCGGGGTTAGGTTCTCCCAAATCTTGGAAATCTGTGGATACCCGACCTAGAAGGATGAAGCGTGTATGATGCCAAGAGCAACCTTTTCCACAGCCCCTCTCCTTAGCCTGCCTCAGCTTTTCTGGTGGTGGTCACTCCATCTGGGAGCTCCGATCACTTCACGTTTTCACCCCATTGCTGTGGGGAGGAAGTCCTGTTACCCCTTATAGTACAAATGCTGAAATAATGAGGGACGTGTGCTGGTGGGTTGGGAGGGGGTGACCTCAGTTACCTTGGGGCCAAGGGCTTCGGAAACAGCCACCTTCTCCCCTTATTATTATTCTATGTTGCAGTAATTTCTTAATATTACACTCCACTTCTGTTGGCCTTTGTAGATTTAAGTAAAATGCACCACAACTTTGCAATGTGCAATAATTTCTTCCACTGCACTACACTTAAATTGACCTGAGTGGATTTTGGTAAAATGCTCAACAGTTAAATGTTATTAGCTATTCCTATGAAGTAAGCTGCTTGCTTTTATATTGGCTTTTTCAGGAGGACACTGGTTCCTCTCCAGTGTAGAGCCAAAAGTAGTAGAACTAGATAGAAAAACAGATTCCAACCCACAGTGACCATGTCAGTTTGTTTCGTTTGGCTTTTGTCATTTTTTGGGAAAAAAAACATCATTCTGGAATGTCTGACTGCCTTTCTGCTACAGTCGGCAGACATTTATCTCTATTAATAAGCCTCAGAAGGAGGCTTGCAAGATGGGATACAGGTGTTTCTCATAGATCTCTAAAAGGAAGAAAACGTTTGTAGTTTACATTCACAGGAAGTTGCAGAGATGGTGCAGAGAGGCATTGTGTGCCTTCCCCCAGTTTCCCCATTGGTTACATCTTATCAATGAAAGAAATTTATCAGTTAAAAATGTTTGCTGTCAGAAAAAAGCTCACTTCAGTGATGACAGCTGATAGCTGGCTTATTATTATTATCATTATTTTAGCACCTATTGTGTCCCAGGAGCTTTATCTTATTTGGAGCTCACAATAATCCTGTAACGCCGGGATTATCCTTACTTTACAGATAAAGCAACTCAGGCCCCAAGAGATTAAGTTTCTTTCATCAGCAATCATGGCAAGATCTGTTTGCCTTGCACACTTCGTCTTTTCCACATTGTGGACAGCTGAAGTTCACGCAGGCCATACACTGTGCTTCATTTGAAGCCGGGCAATTAGCTAACAATAAAAACATGTCTTTATGTTTTGAAAACGGTGATATTTTCTCAGAAGTTAAAACTTTTAAATCTACCTATCAAAGAATGTGTTTCATTAAAGATTTTAATTTTACATGGGTCCAATAGTTTTTCCCAGGGCAGTCAAAATTAAAAGCCAGAGGTAAAAATGTCTCCATCACATATAAGTGTTTTTCAAAATTTTTGGATAATTTGGTCTACTAAACTTCACTGTATTGCTGAATTCAGTAGACTAAAAAATTAGACTCTGAGAGAGTATAGGTTAGCATTTCAGGAGTTAAAAGTTCCCATCACCACATCTGCCAAGTTTACCTACATCTGGACCTGTGCACTATGTATTTCCTCCCATTACTGGGAATGAGCGGTCCATGCTCTTATTTAAGTTCAACCCTTCCACCTTTGTATTAGGTCCTGTCTTCCTTACAGTCTCAAGGTGTTCACTCCAGTATTTGTCACCTCTCAATCCTACATCATTAATTTTTATCTGTATGCTGGATCATTCCCATATGCATATTAACATTGTGCAATATTTGCCTATCTTTTTAAAAAGTTCCTTAATAATATGCCCCCTTCCAGCTACCAACTCGTTCTCTTTCAAAATGTCTTAAAAGAGTCACTTATATTCACTGTATCCTCATCCCCTCCTCCTCCTATTCATTCTTTCTCTCTCTCTTTTTTTTTTCTGAGATGGAATCTTGCTCTATCACCCCAGCTGGAGTGCAGTGCTGCAATCTCAGCTCATTGCAGCCTCCACTGTCTGGATTCATGGGATTCTTGTGCCTCAGCCTCCCAAGTAGCTGGGACAACAGGCATGTATCATCATGCCAGCTGATGTTTGTTTTTTGTGCCTTTTTTTTTTTTTTTTTTGATAAGGATTTTTGTTCTTATTGCCCAGGCTGGAGTGTGGTGGTGCAATCTTGGCTCACTGCAACCTCCACTTCCAGGGTTCCAGTGATTCTCCTGCCTCAGCCTCCTGAGTAGCTGGGATTACAGGCACCCACCACCACGCCTGGCTAATTTTTTGTATTTTTAGTAGAGATGGGATTTTGCCATGTTGAGCAGCCTCGTCTTGAACTCTTGACCTCAGATAATCCATCCGCCTTGGCCTCCCAAAGTGCTGGGATTACAGGTTTGAGCCATCGCACCCAGCAATTTTTGTATTTTTAATAGAGATGGAGTTTCGCCATGCTGGCCAGTGTGGTCTTAAATCCTGACCTCAGGTGATCTGCCCACCTCGGCCTCCCAAAATGCTGAGATTATAGGTGTGAGCTACCATGCCCCTCCCTCCTATTCATTGTGGAATCTATTTCAGCCAAGCTTTTGCCCCTATCCCTCCACTGAAACTCCTCTTGGCAAAGTCACCAGTGACCTCACAATTGCTGAATCAGTGGTTACATTTCCATTATATCAGTTGAACTATCAGCATTAGAACACAGTTGCTTACAGCTGCCATCTTGAAGCATTCACTTTCTTCCCTTGGCCTTCAGGTGGCCCCTGTCTCTTGGTTTGTCTACCTCACTGGCAGCTCCATTAGCTCATCCTCCACTTCTGCAGCCACTAGCATGCCCAAAGTTTGGTTCTTGGACTTCTCTGTCTTTTCATTCCCTTAGCAGTTTTATTTCAAGACATGGTTTTTAGTATTCAGGCTGGGGCCATTCCTTCTCCTCCCAGCCTCCCATGTCCTGCCACTTCTTATGTCCTAACAGGTTCATGACACTACAAGGAAAGTAGGAGCCCTTGTCCTTTTCCAGCCCACAGTGGGGTCCCAGCTGCAAAAAAAGTCTTATGTTTCTTCCCTTTTCAAACCCCCAAGTTACTTATGCTTTGGGGTATCTTTAAGCCTCCTTTAGTTACCCAAAAGCAGAGGAATTCATCTTGCTTTTTTCTTTTCAGGTATCCAGGCACCAAGGCCCTAATCACAACAAAAGTTGGATGGGGTCATCTTTTGACTTTTTCTTGGAAATTCAGAAAGTCTAGTTTTGCTTCAGGGAAGATAGAAATGTTCTTTCTTTCCTCTTTGAGTCTCCAGCACAAAAATTTTACACCAGTAAATTTCTACATCAGTCTGCTTGTTACAGATTGAATGCATGAACGAATGACTGCAAGTGACATGCACTTTGGTGCCCCATGTACCATTGATTAGGTGAATGACCTTGGGTAGCACCTTAGTTTTCTAGAACTTAAATTTTTTGAGACTTCCTGAAATTGGTGATTTGTATTACATTTCTTAGTTTCCTCTCCTGGGTTTAAAATAATATGCTTTATCTACTGCAAAAGCTCCAGAGAGAAACTAAAAACTTGACTTGAATCAACTGGCCAAACTCTGGATAGCTGACAGTAAGCTGAAACTGGAAAAGGACTGGTTTGGAGCAAGGGGTCTGACTGAGGGGAGCAGTTCTATGGAAGAGGAGGAGGAGGAACCCCACTAAGCACATTCCTTGATCAGAAGGGAAAGGATACCCACTATACCAGATAAACATTTTTCCTTTATGCATCTGAATTTTTTTGCCTATTATTTTATCATTTAGAATTTCTTTTCCAATTTTATTTCAGAAAATGTCATTGCTACACCTATATTTCTACAGGTCATATCTAGAAATATACCTAAGCCACAACAAAGGTAAGAGAACAACTTTCTGACTCGGTATCTAAGGGCAACCCCTGGTAATGTTAGCTTTCCTTAAATCCCATGGGAGCTGGGAGAATAGGATGCTCCTAGTAGAATTCTGCAAACACCATGTAGAATCCTCCTCCTTCACCAATCCTGCTGAGCACAGGTGACTCTCCTGGGGTCCCAGCTACTTCCGAATGTGTGGTGTATGGGAGAGTGTAAGTGGCCAGGTTGCTGTGGACATAGAAGGCACAAAAGGAGCACTGCCCAGCTCTGTGTTTTGTAGAGATATCAGTTACACTGCACCTTTACTGATGCATGCTATTACCATGCTATATAGCGTTGTGCATCTCAGCATGGTATTAGAATTGGTGTTAGAATATAAAAGTGATAAAGATGATAATAGGCACACATACACTTACGATGGCAATACTGAAAGAATGACAAAATGCCAAGAGATGATGAAAGAAGCCTTTCCAAAACAAGTAACTTTAGCATTAAGTTTTCAGTGTGGACTGGTGCAGTGGCTCATGCCTGTAATCCCAGCATTTTGGGAGGCAGAGACGGGCGAATCACTTGAGGTCAGGAGTTCTTGATCAGCCTGGCCAACGTGGTGAAACCCCATCTCTGCTAAAAATACAAAAAATTAGCCGGATGTGGTGGTGGGCACTTGTAATTCCAGCCACTCAGGTGGCTGAGTCAGTGTGTATATGAGTTAGCTAAGGGAACAAAGGTTAGGGATGGAAGTGTTAGGGAAGGGAAATATTCTAAGTATAATAAGAAGTGTGATCTATTTGAGTATTGTAAATTGCTCAGTAAGCCTAAAACAAAGGCTATATGGAGGGGATTGGGCAATGGTAGGAGATTAAAGTTACCGCGCATTCATGAATGGATACTAAGGTTGATTCTTTATCTGCAACTGTGATAGTGCTGCAGTGAACAGGGGAGCACAGATATCTCTTCAACATACTGATTTCATTTTCACTGGACATATACTCAGTAGTGAGATTGCTGGATCATATGATGGTCCTATTTTTAATATTTTGAGGACCTCCTCATTGTTTTTTATAATGGCTGTACTAATTTACATTCCCATCAACAAATTTTCTCTACATCATTGCCAACACTTGTTATTTTTTATCTTTTTTACAATAGCCATCTTTACAGGTGTGGGTGATATCTCATCGTGCATTTAATTTGCATTTCCCTGATGATTAGTAATGTTGAACTTTTTTTCATCTACTTGGCCATTTGTGTCTCTTCTTTGAGAAATGTTTATTCAGGTCCTCTGCCCATTTTTAAATTGGGTTGTTTTCTTGCTATTGAGTTGTTTGAATTCCTTATATATTTTGGATATTAATGCCCTAACAGATGAATGGTTCTCAAATCTTTTCTCCAATTTGCTAGGTTTTATCTTCACTCTGTTGATTGTTTCTTTGTTGTACAGAATATTTTTTGTTTGATGTAATTCTATTTTTCTGTTTTTGCTTTAGTTGCCTGTGCTTTTGGGGTCATCTCCAAAAAAGTCATTGCCTAGACCAATGTCCTAGAGTTTTCCCCTATGTTTTAGTAGTTTTGTAGTTTCAAGTCTTATGTTTTAAGTCTTTATTCATTTTTAGTTGATTTTTGTATTTGGTGTGAGAAAAAGGTTTCATTTCATTTTTCTGCATATGGATATCCAATTTTCCCTACACTACCTTTTTTTTTAAGAGACTGTTCTTTCCCCATTGTGTTCACAGCCTTGTCAAAAATCAATCAGCCTTTTTTAAAAAAATAAGACAATTCTGTCATTCGTGACAATATGGATGAACCTGGAGGTCATTAAGTAAAATACCACATGATATCATTCATATGTGGAACCTTAAAAAGTTGAACTCATAGAAGCTGAGAGCACAGGGGCTGGGGCTGGGGAGGATCAGGGAGATATTGGTCAAAAAATAAAAAATTTCAGTTAGGCAGGAGGAATAAGTTCAAGATATCTGTAGTACAATAGGGTGACTGTAGTTAATAACAATGTTTTGTATATTTACAAATTGCCAAGAGAGTAAATGTTAAGTGTGCTCAGCAGACACACACAATGATAAGTATATGAGGTGATGCATATGTTATTTACTTGATTCAGCCATTCCATAATATATCCATATATCAAAAGATCATGTTATATACCACAAATATATGGAATTTTGTTAATTAAAAATAAAATTTTAAAAACTAATACCTTATTTAGGAATAATTTCTTTTCTTTTTTCTTTTTCTTTCTTTCTTTTTTTTTTTTTTTTTTTTTTTTTTGAGATAGAATCTCCCTCTGTTGCCCAGGGTGGAGTGCAGTGGCATGATCTCGGCTTGCTGCAACCTCTGCCTTTCAAGTTCAAGTGCATCTTCTGCCTCAGTCTCCCAAATAGCTGGGACAATGGGCACATGCCACCATACTCAGCTACTTTTTGTATTTTTAGTGGAGCCCTGGTTTCACCATGTTGGCCAGGCTGATCTCGAACTCCTGACCTCAGATAATCTGCCTGCCTTGGCCTCCCAAAGTGCTGGGATTACAGGTATGAGCCACTGCACCTAACCTAAAATAGCAATACTTCCTTGAGTGCTTTCTTGAGCTGTGCCCTTACTGAGGACTAAACTTGTACTTTTTTTCTTCTCTTGCCCAAATTTGTATCTAAGGGGTCTGGAGAGTCATGCCCTCCAAATCATAGTCTCAACAGACAGGTTTTACTTAGCGCTATATAACATGGCTTACTTTCCAACCTGACTCTGGTATAACATCATATGATAGATAGGGAAGGAAATATTTTAATCCCAAATATATTTTCTTTGCCATGTCTTGAAATAGTCCTGCAAAGCTGACTTGTGGGGAAAATCTGTTCTGAAGAGAATCCCCTTCCTTCTCCCTCCTTTTTCCTGTTCCAGGAGAGAATCACACCTAATTAGAAACACTTACAATCTATTCTCTCTGATGCTTGCTACCTGGAGACTTCCTCTGCATAATGAGAACCTTGGTCTCCACAACCCCTTATCTTAACCCAGACAACCCCTTCTATTGGTTCTATCAGCATAATGGAAATCTTGGTTTCCACAACCCCTTATCTTAATCCAGACATTCCTATCTATTGATTCTAGGTCTTTGGACAATAATTTAACTCTTTCAACAAACTGCCAATTAGAAAAGCTTTGAATCTACCTATAACCTGGAAGCCCCTCCTTCCAGTTGTCCAATCTTTCTGGATTGAACCAATATACCCCTTATATGTGTTGATTGATGGCTTATGTTCTCCCTAAAATGTCTAAAACCAAGCTATATCCTGACCGCCTTGGGCACATATTCTCACAATCTTCTGAGGGCTGTGTCATGGGCCATCAGTCACTCATTTTTGGATCAGAATAAATCCCTTTAAATATTTTACAGAGTATGACTCTTTTTATCGACATTACAATTACCAGCAACTTAAGTCATTTTTGCCCGATCTTACAGTTAAGATGGTGGAGACTTAGGTTACGTAACTTGCCTACGGTCACATTAAGTAATAGGAGGTGGAGCTAGGACTCAAATCCATCTCTGATTCCAATCTGGAGCTCTTTCCACTGGACCATGAGGCCTCTTTCCAATAAGATGTAAAGGTAAATGGGCCAAATAATAGAAGGCCTTGGCAATGTAACAGCAAGATGTGTCATAGGATCTAACAAAGGATTTTAAGCAGGAGGACAGGGGGTGAGCCTAGAGCTGGGGAAAGCACATGAAGCCACTATTGCATCAACCCTGGCTGAAATCAGCTGTCCTTGAATTCAGTGTGACAGTGGTGTGGGCTTAAAGAGAGAGGAGAACATGGATTTGAGAAAATTTTAGGAGTTGAAATTAGCAAGACTGGATATAAAGAGTAGAAAAGAATGAGGCGTGTGACTCACACCTGTAATTCCAGCACTTTAGGGGCCTGATACAGGCGGATGGCTTGAGGCCAGGAGTTCAAGAGCAACTTGGGCAACACAGTGAGATCCTGTCTTAACAACAACAACAAAATGAACTCAGTGGGATGTGGTGGCTCATGTCTAGTTTCAGCTACTAGAGAGGCTGAGGTGGGAGGAACACTTGAGGCCAGGAGTTCAAGACCACAGAGCCTTGATTGTGCCAGGGTATTCTAGCCAGGGTGACAAAGTTTTTGAGACCCCCCCCCACCTCAAAAAAAAAAAGTAGATGTGAACACTTGCAGGGAATAAAAAAAGAATAAAAAAGAATGTGAACTTAGTAAGTCACTTAATATTTTCGGAGCCTCAATAATCTTTACCTTTAAAACGGAGGATTAGACTTAATGTTTTCTTAATATTTTAAGATTTTTTGCAAAGCCAACTGATACCAAAATGTGATAAAGATTGCACATTTTTGCATATTGAATAATAAATAAAATGTAGCAAATAGAAATTAGCAATAAATTTAAAAGTATAGTATACCATGACCAAGACTGGGTTCATTTCAGTGATGTAAATATGATTGAATGTTAAGAAATTTATTAATATATTCCTTCATAATTGTAGGTCAAAGGAATAGAAATGTTTTAATTGATAAGAAAATGTTTGATAAAATTTAAGTCTGTAGTCATTTTTGATCAAAGAGATCTTTAGTAAGTGGCTATATAAGCTGAAAGTTAGGTTCATGCTTAATAGTTGTAAATCGCAAATAAAAAATCCTAAGCCCCTCAACCATCTGAATGGACTCCTCCTCTTGGCCAAGTACACTCCAAGTTAACCTGAAAACCTAGTTCAGGCCATGATGGGAAGGAGGGGTCAGACATGCCTCATTATACTCTCCTCTTTTTTGGAATTCAGGAAAAGCCAGCCAGCATTAACATCAATGCAGATCTTAAATCTGATAAGAAGCATTTACAATTGTTAAATCAAGTTTAGCTTAAAGCTGCCTCCTTTACCTATTTTAAGTTCAGCCTGAAGGTTTTTCTGTACATCATGAATTATAACAAGCAGAGGTGTAAACAAACTGTTGCCTACAATTGTGCCAATCACTGAGTTTTCCAAAACCTGATTTCCTTCAATGAACCCTTCGTATTGCCCACAAAGTGGTGTGATTAGATCTAGAGTCTTGGTTAGATTCAGGTTCTATTTTTTTGGCAAGATGACTTTCTAGACGTTATTGTGTCTGTGTCCTTCCAACCAAGAGGCATATAATGTTGAGTTGCTTCTTTCTGTGATATTGGTAGTTGTTAGTGCTAAATACCTAGATCCATTAACTCAGCAGATATTGGAAATGATGATATCCTAACCCTATCATTTCATCTTCATTTATTAGCTGGCATGTTTCTATAAGGGGAAATTCCTTTTTCAACTATTTGATTTCCCAGTGATATAGGAAAAGCATGATAAGTGTTTGACTCTGTCTCTTAATTTGCCAGCTCTTATAATAATGGGTTGGCAGTCTACAATGGCCACCAATTGAGCTTATTTTTTGGTATTGTGAATTCATGAATTTAAGCTTATTTTATTGCTCACAGGACTGTGGTTTTTGTGACAATCACAGAGGAGCAAGCCTGGCTTGTCTGAGACAATCATATCAATTCATTCTCACTTGACAGTGTCTGGTATGGGCATGTGACTGGTTTTAGCCATAGGCATTTTGATAGGGACAGGGGCAGAGAAATTCCAGGCAGAAAAGGTCACGTCCCTAGTGAAGCCTCATCTCAAGCTGAAAAGCCTGAGACCGCAGCGCAAAGTGAGAACTTACATCCCTGTTTCCTTGCTCGAATGTCACATTTTCCAAAGCACCCACAGCCCCACACTGCCCTCACATCCCGTGCCTATAAAAACCCCAGCCTCAGTCGGCAGAGAGAGGAGAAGCAGCTGAACGTCAGGGACTACAGCTGAACACCAGAGAGAAGTGGGCAGATTTCAGAAGGACAACTTGACGGCATAACTCTGGAAAAGAATCTGGCTAGAGACTGCCAGACTTCAGGGGAAGATTACCTACCCACCTCGTCCCCTTTTCAGCTCCCCCTCTTGCTGACAGTCACTTTTATTGGCAATAAAATCCATACATTTACCATCCTTCAATTCATTCATGTGACTTCATTTCTCCTGGATGCTGGACAAGAGCTTGGAAGCCATGAGTGTGGACACAAAAAAGCCGTCACACTTGGCCTTGCTAGCAGAAGGTAGCCACCTCACATGAAAAGGCAGAGGGCCAACTGAGCTGTTAACACTTAAGTTGTCTGTGTATGGCAGGCAAAGCTAAAAGGGCACTGTAGCACTCCCTCTGGGATTTCAGGGGTTGTGGGCACCCCCCTAGATGCTACCACAGGGCAACACAGAGTTCACTCCTGCCAGCACCCAAAAGCAATCACCCTGGATCTGCACCTGCTCACCATCATGCTCCCTCCCGTGAGGAGTGGAGCGTAGCAGGTCCAAGTGAACGGAGTTCACCCCTGCTGGCACTGAAGCAGACAGCTAGTTCCAGCACCTGTGTACTCCACTTCCCGCCTCATTTGCTTATGTGCTCTGTCCCTCGAGGAACTGAGAGCTGTGGGCTGAGTAAACAAGACAGCCCCTTTGCAAGTCCCATGGAGGGGTCAGGGAAATATCCTGCTTCAATTTCATTTAAGGAAGTCCACTAGGAGGCTTCTGAAAACACACGCTCACCAGTCCACCCACCCGGCTGGCCCCCTCCCTCCCTTCCTGCTTTTTTTACATTGTCACATGAGGCCTTGTTTAGAGAGGTGCTACTGAAGCTTGGAACATCCCAATGGATACATGTGACACATATGTATAATTGTGAATATTAATACTGCAGATCGAGACTTTTTGACAGGGAAAGCTATCTAGGATGTGTTGCTGATGTAAATCCAAGTCATAAAAACTATACATATAAAATTGAACAAAAATGTGTCTATTTATACTGAGTCTTGCTTGGAAATACTTAAATATTAAGTGGTCATTTCTCAGAGTTGATATATTGACTAATTTATTTCTCTCTAGTATTTTTATATAGTTTAAGGTTTAAATTTTTATGTGATTAATAATTTTTTTTAAAAGTATGATTCCTATTTATCTCATGTTTCTCATTATGGGTTTTTTCAAAATATATAAGATCTCCTAATTGGCATTACATTATTTTCTCCATGGCATGATCATCAGCAGGAAATGTTTTGATTCTAGAATAACATTTACTGATAAATATTTTTTGAAACATTTAAGCATTTCCTAATCTGAACATTTTTGTGGGTTTTTTTCTTTGTGTAGCTTATTTTTATATTTAATAATGCTTTCTAGCCCAGTGGAACACAATCATCTTGTTGGAGAAGACACTTTCAGAAAAACATTTTCTACTCAATAGAAAAATGAAACTAGTACATTTTTCACTTAGTGGTAAAAATGATAAGCAGTCTCCCTTTAGCCTACATATAAGAAATTTCCATTTCTTTGGTCCATTTAGTTCTCCTAAGATACTGCATGTTGTTAAAACCAAAAGGATATTTTCAAAAAATTTCTAGGTTTCCAGAGTAAAATTGAAAAGGGGTCTTATTTCTTTTGTTAATGACCCTTTGAATGGCTGGTTCTGCACAGGGAGTCAAGGCCAGGCTATCACAGTGGACAAAGGAAATCGGATCAGTGCCACATACCCTGAATTATGAAAGCTGTTGTGACATATTCAACGTAGGCTATAAGCTTACTCTCTGGACGTCATAAAGTGAGAAATGCCAGAAAGAAACGTGCAGAGCTGAGGCTGGAGATAAATCCAGAAAGGCAATTCCTCAAGGGCATTGATAATTATTAAACAGAGAGCATATATGTTCTGGAGGACGACATGAGGGAGACAGGTTGGATGTAGGGAAACAAATAGACATTGAAGCAATGGTTCTGAGATGCAGAGGAGAGGAGAAAGGGATTAGGCAAATACTTACATTGTGTAGTCTCTTTGGTCATTTCTCTTGTTCTCTCTTAGCGTTATTGGAATCTTCAGAAGGGTTAAACTGGAAACAAGAGTATTTCTGTCCACCCTTGGGTCAGAGCTCTAAAGGAGGAAGAGCTGGCTCCTGGTAGCCAGCATAGAAGTGGTAAAACTAAGCCAAGACATTTGCAGATTTGTGTTTTGGTTGGACAGATCCACCTCTTCACTTGGTGACTGACTGTAGGAATCACCTCCCCATACATGTAGATAAAGATGTCACCCTGACCCCAGTACAAAAACAGTAGGTCATCAATCCCAGGGCCGTATTGCAGCCTTGATATGCTCTCTCTATTCTCCTCATGGGGTCTTCAATGGGGTGGTGTTCCTCACACCCTCACCTTGGAGTGTTCTTATAACTTCTGGAATGGGCGTGGTCATTTGCAGCCTTCCTACCAAACTGGCTCTTCACCTGAATTTCACTTTCGTGAACAGACTGTTCTGAAGTCTGGTGAGAGGTCAGATTAGGCCTTCTTAAGTTTTCTCTGGAACAGCAGGAACTCAAACCTGATCTTGCCACTCCAGTCTGAGCCAATGTTGGTCTGGAATTGTTGTACCAAATCTGCAACCTGGAAGGAAGATCGGGGCTCTTTCCCCACCAAGCTGTTCAAAATCCGGGATCTCAGGTCACCTTTGGCTCAAGAACACCATCCCCACTGTGAAATCACAAGGCATGGGTCAGAGAGAAAGTTTAAGAGCCCCACCTAGAAGAAACAGTATTGAGTCTGTATTATTTAGAACCAGTGTCCATTTAATCCTCTCTCCTGAGATTCGTATCTGGTGTGCTAGGGTTTAGGGCCTCAGACATAAGTCACTAGAGAAACCTTGGAAACCCGTGTATCGTCTCATTTTGCAAGACCTGGTATAATGTTTCTAAAGTTCAACAGTGTAGTCTGAACTGATGGTCTCATATATGATAGTAGAATAAGAAACAACATAAACGATTTGACTTTTTTCTTTTTTTTTTAAGACAGGGTTTCACCATGTTGGTCAGGCTGGTCTTGAACTCCCGACCTCAGGTGATCCACCTGCCTTGGCCTCCAAAGTGCTTGGATTACAGGCATGAGCCACCACGCCCAGCCATGATTTGACTTTTTTTGTACTTTGAGATAATTACCCATGTGATTGTGGGTAATTTTCCAAAATCCAAAATCAGGGTTGGAGGTAAACTCAACTTCAGGGTTTCCAAAATTAAAACTGAGAGAGAGGTCTATAGAAAATTTCTGGCCCTATCCCCTGGAGCTATGCAGCCTGGGTATGGCCTGTGGACCGAAACCCTGTCCCAGCATCACCACCCAAACTGCTATTGATTCTATGCCCAGGGGACTTCTCAAGCAAATTTATAGGAGGAGAAATGAAGAGTAAGACAAATTTGGAGGCAATTATCAGTCAATGGTTTACAACAGGGCTGCCAAGTAGGCAGGACCTACACTACTGAGAAACTGGGAAAATCCAATGCAGTGCTCCAGGCTCTGTGCCTATGCCTCATACTCTCTTGTATTCACGTCTCACCTCAACCCACTTCTTCATTTGATCTCTTTCCACAAGATTGACAGGACTTTTTTTTTTTTTGGACTTCTCTTTGATTAGGATTTAGCTTTTCCTTGTCTCACCCGGGGTTTCAACGTCCTAGAATCCTTTCCCAGCCTACCTCTGTATCTCAAGGTTTTCCATAGCAGTCTGTCTCTCCTGATCACCTATGACCCAGCATTGCCACCTACTTCATTCATGGGAATGTTCAGGCCCTCGTTTAACCAGTCTTGCTGGTTCCCTCTTCCCTTTCCTTCCCCACTAGGACCATTTGAACCAGCTCACAATCTCCCACATCTTCCTAAAAGCTTGGAGGATTCTCTACCCCAAAGAGACAATCCCCTCTTCTTCAGTGTTTGGGACTTGAAGAGGATTATTCTGATGCTTTCTAGGCTAGTCAGAGGATACAGGCCCACAGATCCCTATGAATGCATCCACCGTGAAATGGAGAATTGTGTTTTGAAGACAATGTTAGAAAGCTGACACCACCAAGTCATACAATTCTCTTCTGTTCACAGAATATGATAACTATTTTTTTAGATACAAAGTTGATGTTTTTAGCATTGTCCCCCAAACTCCTGTCTTGGTGTATCTCCTTTTCCCTGAACTGATTTGGCTTTAGAATATAAATTAATGGTAAGACATGCATATGGGAAATGATTTGATATGCAGAACCATGGCAACAAGAACTCCTGTTAAGGAGAAAAGGAACTAACATTTACTGAGTGCTGTGTACTAGGTACCAGGTGCCATTAATCATAGTGATAATGACACTATTGGAGCGTGCATATTACGTTTAGGCATTATGCTAAGCCCTTACATATGACCTATTTTAAGCCTCACAGTAACTCCATGAGGTAAGCACTGTGTCACCATCCTCAATTTATAAAAGAGAAACTTAAAGAGGCTGAGTAATTTGTTCAAGATGAACTGAGTATCAAGCCCAGGTCTCTCTGAATCCAGCATCTTTTTACAGCATATTTTAAAAATGGATGAAGCTTTCTATGGATTTAAAACTTTAAAGTTTCAGAAAATAAAGAGCTGAGTCACATGGCGTAACTTAGACCTGATAAAGTTAGATAATGATGAGATAAATGAGTTTTGACTGAGATTATCCATATTATCTCAACTTACTACATTTAGGCTTTGAATGCAGATTTCAGTGGAACTCAAGTGACCATTTCATGAAAATATATAAATTGCATTCTTTCATTTCATCTGTGCTTGTTGCTACAATATCAGAAGGCTTACATGGTTAATTCTGTCTTAATATATGACTAGTCAATCATACACAGAAAATTTCTATTTAAAGCTAGTAGGTAAAACACATATAAAACCTCTTATTTAAAAAATTAAGGCCAGGCTGAGCATGGTGGCTCACGCCTGTAATCCCAGCACTTTGGGAGGCTGAGGCAGGCGGATTGTTTGAGGCCAGGAGTTCAAGACCAGCCTGGCCAACACGGCAAAATCCCGTCTCTATTAAAATACAAAAATTAGCCGGGCGTGGTGGCACACACCTGTAATCCCAGCTACTTGAGAGGCTGAGGCAGAAGAATCACTTGAATCTCAGAGG